TCATACGATTTATGATATATAATTATATAATGCCTAAAAATAAAAATGAATTAAATCAAACTGAATTAACTTTCGTTAAAAAGTTTATCATGTTACTTTTTGTTCAATAGAGAAAATAAGAATCCCTAAAGAACGCTCAAAACTACAAAATTGAGAATGTTGCAGGCCCGGTTTGATTGAGCCTTCTCATGGACGGTAATGGAAAGAGCAAGTTATCGTCCACACCCCCTAGCACCGGCTTAAGCAAAATTCAACATGAACTGGTACAATTTTGAAACATCCGCAGATGTGTTAATATGGCGATTATCATGGAACCTTCAATGTGACACGTAAGTGCCATACCATGAAAAACGGCATATGATCCCCAAGTAAAAAAAAACACACTCTGAAATTCAGTAAGAAAAAAACATGGCGCCCCCTACTTACTTTTTAGCTCACCTGAGCACGAAGTGCTCAAAGGTGAGCTTTTGTCATCACTCTGCGTCCGTCGTGCGTCGTGCGTCCTTCAAAAAATGGCGTCAAACTTTTCAAACAACATCTCCTCCTAAACTACATGGCCAATTGCAACCAAACTTTACAGAAATGATCCTTAGGTGGACCCCTTTCAAAGTTGTTCAAAAATTTAAATTCCATTAAAAACTCTGGTTGCCATGGCAACCAATAAGAAAAACTTAAAAAATCTTCTTCTAAAAACCGTAAGAGCTAGAGCTTAGATATTTGGCATGAAACATCTTCTAATGAGTGCCTACCAAGTTTGTTCAAATCAAAGCCCTAGGGTCAAAATTGGCCCCGCCCCAGGGGGTCATTGATTTTCCCTATATGCATATAGTAAAAACTTAAAATATCTTCTTTTAAAGAACTCAAAGAGCTAGAGCTAAGATATTTAGCATGAAACATGTTCTAATGGGTGTCTACCAAGTTTGTTCAAATAAAAGCCCTGGGGTCAAAATTGGCTCCGCCCCGGGGGTCATTGATTTTCCTTATATGTGTATAGCAAAAACTTAAAAAATCTTCTTTAAAAAAACCCAAATAGCTGGAGTTTAGCTATTAAGCATGAAACATCTTCTAGTGAGTGTCTACAAAGTTTGTTCAAATCAAAGCCCTAGGGTCAAAATTGGCCCCGCCCCGGGGGTCATTGATTTTCCTTATTGACTGTGTATAGCAAAAAACTTAAAAAATCTTCTTTGAAAAAACCCAGATAGCTAGTGTTTAGATATAAAGCATGAAACATCTTCTAGTGAGTGTCTACCAAGTTTGTTCAAATAAAAGCCCTAGGGTCAAATTGGCCCCGCCCCAGGGTGTCTTGATTTTCCCTATATGCATATAGTTAAAACTTAAAAAATCTTCTTTTAAAGAACCCAAAGAGCTAGAGCTAAGATATTTAGCATGAAACATGTTCTAATGAGTGTCTACAAAGTTTGTTCAAATAAAAGCCCTAGGGTCAAAATTGGCCCCGCCCCCCGGGGTCATTGATTTTCCCTATGTGCATATAGTAAAAAACTTAAAAAATCTTCTTTTAAAGAACTCAAAGAGCTAGAGCTAAGATATTTAGCATGAAACATGTTCTCATGGGTGTCTACCAAGTTTGTTTCAAATAAAAGCCCTGGGGTCAAAATTGGCCCCGCCCCGGGGGTCATTCATTAGCTTGACTTTTTTTTTTTGATATATACATATTATATATATACATATATATTTAATATTTATATATATATATATATATATATATAAAAATATATATATATATAAATGTGTATATATATATATATATATAGATATATATGATATATATATACATATTATGTGTATATATATATATATAATATATATATATGTATGTATATGTATATATATATATATATTTATATATATATATATATATATATATACATGCATACATATACAACCAAGTTTGTTCAAATAAAAGCCTATATATATATATATAAATGTGTGTATATATATATATATATATAGATATATATATACATATTATGTGATATATATATATATATATATATATATATATATATATATATACAAGCATAATATATATATATATATATATATATATATATATATAAAATATATATATATATATACATGCATACATATACAACCAAGTTTGTTCAAATAAAAGCCTATATATATATATATATATACATGCATACATATACAACGCAAGTTTGTTCAAATAAAAGCCCTGGGGTTTAAACTGGCCCACTCCAGGGGCCTATATACAGGTGAGCGACTTTGGGGCCATCATGGCCCTCTTGTTTTTATTTCTTGGTCAATTTTGATAATAAACAAGATCATCAAGGAAAGGCGGCGGAAAATTACATAAGAATTGCAGATTCGGTTTGATTGAGTCTGCACATGAGGGATAATGAACAAGTGCAACATCCCTCACGCCCCCTAGCACTGGCTTGAACGGTACTCAATTCTCAACACTTAATAGCGCTGGCATCAATGATCCCGAAGGACCAGAAAAACACTGAAGTGAAGTACGGGGCAACTTTTTACAACTGCCACACGGCACTTGGCACCTGCTGTTGTGAAGTATTAAAATCTGGAAACAAAATGATCCCTCGGAAGCATTAATCACTACAAAATTACATAAGAATTGCAGACTCGTAGTCTGTACATGAGGGATAATGAACAAGTGCAAAAAGTTTTTATTCATACTGAAAATACCGTATTAAAGATTGTACATATGTGCTACGGATAAGTATTTTCTTGATTTCGGAAAGGAAATCTCGGTGGCCGCTTTAAAATCCTATTTTTGCAAATACTTGCATAGTTTTTGTTGAAAGTGAAATTTGTGCCAATACATTTTTCAATGATACCAATAAGAATATTGGATGGTTTTTACATTACCAATAGAATTACTCCCTTGAAGTTGCTCATTGTTTCCCCTAAAAATTTCCAAATCGCCGATGTTTCTCAAGAATATAGGATAAACAAGATCAACAAGGAAAGGCGGCGCTCAATGAACGCAACCCTACATGACCCAGCAACAAGAACAAGTGGCAAGAAGCCCAGGCGGACCCCAAACAAAACACAGGACAGGGCACTAGGCATAGCATGGACAGGCTAATCACTAAAATGATAAAATAATTTGTAACTGATCAATAAGAAACACGATGTTAAAAATAAGGTAATGCACAAGTTATCTTCATCATAAATGGTAAAATCAGCAATTTTCAAGTGATGTTGCTAGTGACAAAACTTTTGTAACAAATGCAACATATATATATATATATATATTTATGTTATGAAAAATGCCGTATGTTGTCCTTCAGTTTTATTTAAAAATATGGGAGAGGCGCCGTTTTATACCAGTCCTGTCCGCAATAGAAGGTCGTAAATACTACGAGAGGGGCGGGGCGTTATGCTTGACTTAAAATCGTTTAACTTTGTGAATCTACTTTTGTCATTTTAAACATGTTACTGTGTTAACGTACTCTTGTAGTTCTACAACTGGTAAGACGTTTTCTTAAACTCTATTTTCCGTATTCGAGTTTTACATTTCATTTGTATATTACAGATCTATAAGTGTGCAAACATGCGTATGTATTGCATGCAATGGAAGATACGAACTTGTTAATTTGTTGTCGTTTTAGATGCTAGGTCAGTTGTTACGATATATATGTAAACTTGTTATATAAAGGCGGTAACATTCAATTAAAAGATTGAATTAAGAGGCATACAATAAAAATGGTAGGCATACAAGTTCGCATTTTCAAAAGTCATTTTAAAAAGGAACACTTTACATGTCTGGAATTTTGGCAACGAACGCCCTCCATACCCTACGGGGTTGTCTGCAGCGTTCACGTCATGTTATAGTATATAAACGGGTACGCTGAAGACCTTAAGCTAAACCAATTAATGCTGTTTTAACGATATTTTTTACTAAATACATCTGAAGTAGACAAAACATGCATTATATATGAATTGTAAATATTTCCTTTCTCTACAAAATCACATAAAAATTGGTACTTTTGTCGATAGACTTTTCATTTTCTTTTAGTAGAGGTATATAAACGTGAAAATGTTAATCAATGAAGTTATGATGAAAACATATAAAAAGTAATCATTACCAGTAATATATAATTATGGGCCGAGTTGACCCAAGCCAAATTGGAATAGGGCCGAGCTGATATCTGTAAATTTTCAGACATTTAGTAGGAAAATAGTAGAAATTGCATTAAAATTCAAAACAGCAAGTTAAAGTAAAAAGGTTTCATATTAATATATGATGAAATTTTACAGTATGGTAAGATTCAGAACAATTTGATGACTTTCAATTTGCACTTAACAAAAAGTTCAGTCATCAATCATACAAAGATGAAAGTTGCCCAATAATTACATTTGTAAATAATATTAACAATCATTGAAACAACTTGTCTTAGCTGCGGATTTTAGTGTAAAACTAAAAACAGCAAATTTCACATTGAATATCCGTAAATTTATGGATCTGAAAAATTGCTCTCAAGAATTTCTTTGAATTATACAGACCTACATGGGTTCCTGTTTTTTCTATGGTTATATTTTACTATCTAACCTAAGTTTCTGTATGTGTATGGTGGAATTTATACAAAAAATAGGATAGCGTATCAAAGTATTTATGTCGGTTTTAATTTATTACCAAAAAAAAATATGTAAAAATTTAGCATTTGGAGCAGAATACAGCACACAACAAAATTGATTTTGTTAGTGCCCTAAATAGACATGCGCTGAAGCAAATGCAGTGCTCAACAAATCTGCAATTGAGATAAATGCTTTATAAATGGTACTTTGTCAGTCAATGAATTCAAGATTTTGAATTTATTCTACTATATATATATTTGTCACTGGTCCGAACTAATTTTCACTGGCCATGGGCCACCGGGCTAGTGCTAAATTCAATGACTGTTGTTATAGTTGTTTGTTTTTTTTTACCTATTTAAATAAAATTCTACCAATTTGAAACATACATGACCTGTTTTATCTTTTATACATTTCAGAATGCGTTACGTGGCCGCCTATATGTTAGCTACCCTTGGGGGTAAAACAGCACCAAGCGCAGCTGATCTCGAGAAAATCCTTGGTAGTGTTGGCATTGATGCTGAGAAAGATAAAATCACCAAAGTTATCTCAGAGCTGAAGGGAAAGAACTTGGAAGAAGTGATTGAAGAAGGCAAGTCCTGATAAACTATTTCATTATGTAGGGAAAATATGAATCCTGTTTGTTTAGAACCATGTTGGAATAGAATGTTTGGAAAGATATTTGATTTTTAAAGCAATCATTTTGGGAGTAGTGGTTAAGGTGTCTGCCTTTCAACCCAGGGATCATGGGTTTGAGCCCTACTCTAGTCACCACCATGTTTCTCCATATGACACCAGTACTGGTTGGTTCCAGGAAGCGGACGAGAAAGTGATTAATATAAGTTGTAAGAACTTGTTTCTAAATCGAGCTTTAATAAAAATGTTTAAACCAAAAGCAATCTTAAATAACTATGCCGTATCTTTTATTTCTAATGAGTTGCAAGGAGTAACAGTCCAATTTGAGTTAGGGCTTGCATGGGTTGTGCGTCTTTCTGAAGAGGAAAATATAGCACAATAAATAAGCTAGAAAAGGGTAAAACCTGAAATCAAATTCGAACAAATGAGAATGGAATTGACCCTCTCATTTTGAATAATAATTTAAATTGCCATTCAATTTAACATGCATGGCACATAGCTAACTACAGGGACAGCCTTCTGTCTTCCAACCAATTATATGTATCAACTAGTTAACAAGTCAGCTGCTGATAAGTCGTGGTTCTGGTGAAGAAAGTGCATAGGGCATTTAAGGGGAAAATATACCTTTTTTCAGTGATTTTCCTGCTTATAGAACAGACTCCAATAAAAGGCCTCTTGCCAATTGAAATTTTCTTTAAAATCGTGCAGGTTTCCTAAAAATCTGAACTTAAACCTGCTTTTTTACTTCCCAAATTAGCAATTTTAGCAATAACAAATGGCTTTGGCCTCTTCTCAATTAAGAGGGAAAAATCAATGACTTTAGGCTAGGGGAAAAAAGACTTCATTTGGCTGTAAAATGTAAGGGGAAAATCACTGATATTTCTCTTATTAATGCTTATTTGCAGACAATGATCAGCAAGGCAAACAATTTATTATAGGTTTATTCATACAATGGTAAATGAATTATTCTTGCTTTTCACTATATAAAAGCTTTTCTTAAAAATAATTTGGTGCAACTCTACAACATTGTCAATTAATACTGGTATTTTAAATATATTATATGGGCTGATGGTCTTCCTATACAAAATAAAATGTTGTTATTGTTAAGGCAAAATGTTAACTTACGAGCCTTGGGAATATCTGGCACTTTGATGTTAAAAAATATAACATTGGTAAATTTTCAAAAAATGACTGAAGATGATTTAATTTGAATGTATTCTTAAAATCTTAGCCAGTTTATTTAGAATGCTCTCATTTACACCTATTTTTTAACTAACAAAAGATGGCCCTTTCACAAAGATTAACAAGACTGAATGACTGCATGGTATGCTAGACTTGTTAAAAAGATTATTCTGTGCTTATCTCAAGTTGCTTGTTCCTTTTAGGTTTTAATTATGTCATGGCATATTGTAATTAATTGTATAAACATTTTACTTACAGGATCAAAGAAGTTGGCCTCTGTACCTTCTGGTGGAGCAGTAGCAGCCCCAGCAGCTGGTGGTGGTGGCGGTGCCCCTGCAGAGGCTAAGGAAGGTAAATGTCAAGGATATATACACTAGAAAATTTCTAATTAAATATTTTCAACCAGCACACACAATGTATGTCTTGCAACATTTGTGTTGGAAACTGCCAAAGACCACAAACCAGGCCACTTCACTCATTTACTTTCCTATTTGTATGGTAACAGAAACAACTTGTTAATAGGGACTGGTCTTTATGGAAAAGATTAAAGGCAGTTGTGGGTTGGACAAAATTATTTACAAAGTCTCCTATCTTTCAATAGGGCTGGGTATTGATCAGAAATTTTCGATACGATACGTATTGCGATACAGACCAACGATACACAATACGTATTGACGATACAGTACAATGATGCTTCATTGTTAGGATGTACTTATTAAAAGTACTATTTACATTTCATAGATTCCCTGGTGAAATATTATTGAATCTTTCTTATATCTGTTTTAGATTTTGACTTTGTTAATGATGATATATAATACAGAGCAGGTGCATAGGTACCTTAATTAGTACATTTGAGATAATATTTTGAAAATGACATGATGACATGATTTATCTTTTTTTAGATAAAACAATTATTTTGAAGAAAAAAAAAGCTTTGTAGAGAAATAATTCAATGCAAAAATATAATTATGTAAATACTAGGAAAAGTTAACACAGAAAATAATTAAAACATCACTATTTATTATGACAGGAGTCTAGTACTGTCTACAAGTCAACTGTTCTAAATTATAAGATCTTTATAATAAAATCAAATTTTTGTAGAATTTGAAATATATACGCTGAGAAAGTATTGAAACATTGAAAATTTTTCTAACAAATCATGTTTTTTCTATCTTAAACGGTAAAATTACAATAAAAATATAAATATAATGTAATGATGTTGCGGTGTCGTAATCCGTAACGTACCGGGAAACGGTGTTTAGCTACGTCTTCGCGCAGTCACATTATTTAGTTAGCAAACTACATCTTGGAAAATCAATAAATTTTATAGGATTTATGTGTTTACAAGATGTGTTTGATCAAATTACAAGTAAATGTTTGGTCTAATACATACTACTGCCGACCCTGAAAGTATTTTTTTAACCAGTGTTAGAAATAGGAGATTGAATGGCCGGATAAATTTTGTCACGGATTTATCCGTCATTTTGTGTATTGACACATTCGTTGTTCCACCTGAACTAATCAATGCCGCCTTTCAAATATTGCTGAGGGCCTTCTTAAACATTTACTTTAGAGAAAATTCCACACATTTTGACGGTTTGTGCAGGACATTTTAAAGATGATAATTTTAATGTAAAGCCATCGTGTTTATAAGTTACATATTTTATTAGGTTGTCTCCCTTTGTATCGGTATAGCTAAAACCCGATAACCGTACCGTATTGAAAAACGGAAAATCGATAAATACCGATTTACCGGTATATTGATCCAGCCCTATCTTTCAACTTTGTCATGTTGAATTTAAATGATATTCATATAAGCTTAAAAATTATCTTCAAATTGGTTCCTTGAATTAACCAGTACTGAGCAATCGGTGTTGACTTTCATGCTGAAGGAAACAATGGTTTGCTTCATTGATTGTATGGGATTTGAACCCACACAGCTGGAGATCCTTTGATTACTGATCTGACTCGTTAACAAGTCAGCAATGCCACCATTTAACATAGTCATGAAGCAAAAGGGTAAATTCCCCCTTTATTGGGGGGATGTGCATTTGTGAACACTGGCGTGATTTTCAATTTCCTGTTTATAATGATAAATATTTGATATTTTGTCCTGTTATCTTGAATGGGAGAGCAAAAAAATGTATGTTGCAATAATTGTATATATTATATTTAAACGTTAGCTAATGATAATGTTAATTATGTTTTACAGAGAAAAAGGAAGAGAAGAAAGAAGAGAGCGAGGAATCCGATGATGATATGGGCTTCGGTCTCTTCGATTAAAATTATCATGTACTTCTCTGTATTTAGCAACAATAATAAACATCGCTAAAGAAAGAAACATGATTTATGTATTTATTTATTTATTGGCTCACCAGAGCACAAAGAAAGTGCTTAAGATAAGTTGTTGTGCTACCCAACCCCAATTTTAAGTGTTTACATTTATATCTCCTACTAAACTGCTTGACCAATAATGATGAAACTTGACAGGAATGGTCCTTGAGTGGTCCTTTGTGAAAAATGCTGAATGGTTCCATTCAACTGAACAAGATGGATGCCAAAACTTATTGTAACATCTTGACTATTTCGTAGATTTCGATGACGGTCATGAAACTACAGAAAGGTAGTAATTTACAAATATTGCTTTTAATGGTTCTAGTCTGTTGAATAAGATGTCCCCCAGAGCTAAAAAAAAAAAAGTGTGAATGACATCTCTTTAGAATGATCTATTAAAAAAATGCTTAAATGGTCAAAGAACAATGCCCATGCTAAAAATAGGCTGTTAATTAATGCAAACATTCAGTTTCCATAGCAACCATTGACTTTCATAAGAAACTTTTTTACTTGACTTCCCGAAACAACACTGATTCTCCATAAACGGCAACAATTAACCTGCCATAGCAACTGACTAGTGACGCCGTAGCAACCACTGTCTTGTATAGAAACAACAATTTTATATCGGCACCTGTTAAACCATTAGCAACCATTGATGAAGTTGCAAAACATTTTCTTCCCTAGCAACCCGCGTTCAAACAAAGTAATTTTCCATTGACTTGAAAACAATGTGGCTTCCATAGCACTAAAATTTCTTTACACTAGCCGCCATTTTAATGTCCCAAAAAAGGGGGAGCAATAATTCCCCCGTTTTTCCGTCCGTCCACTATTTTGTTGGGAATTTTCGAACAACAAAGGTATCAAAATGAAACTTGTAGGTAGATTTTTTTAAGGGAGTGCACAAAAACCAAAATCTGCCCCTGCCTAGTTTTTGGAGTTATTTCATTTGTTCTTTTTTTAACTTTGTAGGGGGAAAATAACTAAAAACCCTAAAGAGGTATAAAACCTGAAATTTTGTAGGTGGGATAAAATCGATCGAAATTGGAGTAGAAGTGCAGTGCAAAAGAACCGTAACTCTGTCTTGCCTTATTTTGGACTTGCTGCCTTTTGTTCATTTTACAATTGAACTTTTTCCGGGACATAACTCCAAACTATATAAGAGATATCAACATGAAACTGTGTAAATCTACCTTGCCTAATTATGGATTTATTGACCTTTGTACATGTTTGAATGTTGTCCATGACATAACTCTAAAACTATAAGAGATATCAATATGAAACTTTTTTAGTCGATAAATCTCATTGGTTAGAAGTTAAGTGCAAAAGAAACGTAAGTCTGCCTTGCCTAATTGTGGAGTTATTGACCTTTGTACATTTTTAAACTTTGAATGTTGTCCAGGACATAACTAAACAAGAAACTTTGTAGATAGATATATCTCATTAAATAGAAGTGCAGTGCTAAAGAATCGGAACACTGCCTTGCTTAATTTTGGAGTTCTATTTTACAAACACTTTGAACATCGTCCATTACATAGTTGTGAAAATATAATAGATATGAAAAAGACTTTTTGTACCCTAGAGGGACCCAAATTTGGGTGTAAAGGCAGGGGGCCAAAAAAAAACCATAAATTTTCCCTTTGCCAAATTTTTGGATTTTTTGGGCCCTTTATTCTTTACACACTAAACCCTTTGTCCGGATTTCCACACAAAAACGGGCATTCTTTTCTGTGTAAAAAACCTTTTGGGTTAAAGGTTTTAAAACCGGGGGTTATTTTAGCGGTACTCAAAGAAATTTAAAAAAAAACTTTAACAAATATATAACCATGCGGGGATTTTCGGTCTTTTGCAAAAAGTAAGTCAAAAAAGGAAACCAAAGAAGGGGGTTTAAAAAAAAAATTTAAAAAAAGTTTTAAACCCCAAAAAATTGGCATTTTTGTAATAACTGTAATATTGCCCCTCAAAGTTGTTAAAATTTATTTTTGGGCCCAAAATTTTACCCGGGCCCCTTTTAATTTTTTTTGGTTTTTCTTGTTAAAAAATTTTTTAAAAAATCTCTAAAAACCCCAAAAGGGCAATTTGTATTTTAAAAAATTGTCACGTGTCTGTGAGTTTCAACAACGATTCTTCTCTTTTACTTCCCATGATCAGTACAGAAAAACAAAGCGTGATATAACCGGTACGAGTATTTTGAATTGCTGTTTGCAGTTAAGAAGAAATAATGATCTTTTAAAGTTTTTCAGTACAACCTAGAAGAACGTATGAGCCGCGTCACGACAACACCAACATAGTGGGTTTGCGACCAGCATGGATCCAGTCCAGCCTGCGCATCCGCGCAGTCTGATCAGGATCCATGCTGTTCGCTTACAAACCCTATTACACGTAGAGAAACTGATAGCGAACAGCATGGATCCTGATCAGACTGCGCGGATGCGCAGGCTGGTCTGGATCCATGCTGGTCGCAAACCCATGTTGGTTTTGTCATGACACAGCTCAGATATCTTTATATTAAACTACATGTTTTACTCATGAACTCTGTGGCATGCGAGTTTCAATTTTTTGTCTGCAAATACATGTAATTCTTAAAATGAACAATTGCTTTTGCACCATTATTGTTTCATTCTGTGAGAAAAGGAAAATTAATCTGTCATTTACGGATTGACTGTCCTGATTATTTTAATAAATTCATTGTAATTAATTATAGTAAATGGCGATAAAAACTGGATCAAAGTTTGAATATAATTTTTCAAAATAAACGTTTAAACATAGAGCTAGTTTGTAGTATTAAAGGAACTCCACTGAGGTCCTAAAGCCTAAAAATTGAATTTCTAACATTTATCAGCTGGGACACTTAAAAAAAAATATATATGCATAAAAATTTAAAAAATATATTTTCTAAATTTTTTGAAAATTGTTTTTTTTTTGGCCTTCAAACCCCGTTTTTGAGTGAAAAAGTTGCAACGTTTTTTAAAATTTTTGGGTCTTTTTTTCACGGGGTAGGATACTCATGCGGGAGAAAGGGAATTAAAAAATGTTTCTAAAATTTTTTGAAATGAAAATTTTATTGGCTAGACTTTACATAAAATTTTGAAAAAATTATTTCCAGTCCTGTCATGTCAAAAAACCTCAGAGTGCAGTCCCTTTCAGCAAATAATTGGCATGGAAAAAGAGAATCAACGCACAATTTACTCTGCAGTAACTTTATAGATAAGGTATTTGATTTAGATGTTTATAAGAGTTTAAAATCTCCTCTCAAAAAAAACTTGCAAACTACTTCTGCCTGACAATATTTTATGAAAGCTCTTGAAATTTATATTATATTGATACACATGTGCCGTTGGTTACTTCCGCAGAATAAATGTAAAACAACGTAATGTTGGTGTACAGCGTTAAAGCTGCATGCCTCCAGATGAGTCAAAATATTTTAAACTAAACTTGAGAAAAATGTACTAAGATGTAAGGAAAAGTAAAAAAGTTTCAAGATTCAAGTAATATTTTATATATTATATGCGATTAATGGCTGATTTTTCAGTATTTACAACTATATTTCTACTGCGTTACTAACGCAGTGAGGCTATTTATGCATATTTTGACCACTTTTTGGAAATTTAAATGGTTTGTAAGTGCCATTTATAATGTGTAAATCGTTTCCTTTTGGTTACTTCACAATATTACACATTCAAATATTTTTTTCAGAATGTTCATGAAAATTAGCATAAATCTGGAGGCGTGCTGTTTTAAAGCATCAGTAATTACAAGTGACATGGAACTCGTGTACGCATGCAGAATATTTATGCATCTGTAGGACTTACTGCATTTAATTAGATTAAACATCTAAGGGCACAGTTAGTCCTCATTCGTAGCCAACCAAAATGTTGTGACGCATAAATATTAGTATCAAGCGAATAGCAAGAACATAATTATATACAAGGTTCATCAGATAAACTTATTCAGATAAAATTAAATAATGCATGGCCCTGTGTACTAGTATGCCAATAAACTAAACTTTATTATTTATGTTAATACTTTATAGATGCTTTTTGCTAACAAGGTCTTATAATAAGTAATGAATTTTCATTTTTTGCCACCTGAGGTCAACTTTATTGCATAGAATAAACACTCGCTATTTTTGTTGTTGTTGTCGTTGTTGTTGTTGTTGTTTCTTTCTTTCTTTCTTTCTTTCTTTCTTTCTTTCTTTCTTTCTTCTTTCTTTCTTTCTTTCTTTCTTTCTTTCTTACTTTCTTTCTTTCTTTCTTTCTTTCTTTCTTTGTTTGTTTGTTTTTTTGTTTGTTCCCTTAAAATTCTTTGTTCCAAGACTAACGTAATAATTTCAAAATTCTTAAAATAAGTTTATTTTTAAATGAACATAGGTTTTCAAATGAACAATTCCGTCTTATTGGTAAAGGCCTAAATTATCATATTTCAATGTTTTAGCTTGCACACCTCGTAATATATTTTTATATTCCTAACCTACTTGAATTCTAAAACCGCTCCTAGCCTAGACAATTTTCGAAAAAGTTATCCTTCACCCGTTTGTAATAGGAGCAAGTGCCATTTTCATATTAGCCGTATTATCGACCTATTTAAAGAGCTATATTTGTTTTCTTTCAAATTCTTTGATGTTATAATCATCTATAATTGAATTTTTAATATTTATTTTTTTTGTGAATATTGTGTGTGGCTGGGAAGTCAGGTGCTTCTCGCAAAACTACGGTGGCATAGAGGTGACATTTGCAGTTTTATTTTATCTCGTGGCCACGACTTATTATCTTGAGGCCTCAAGAATAATTATCTCGTTGCCAAACGAACTTATTATTCGTGGCCACGACATTAATATTAACTTGTGGCCTCAATATTTATTCGTGGACCAACGAGTTATTATCTTGTGCCACGAACATATTTATCTCGTGGCCACGACTTATTATCTTTGTGGCCTCAAGATATTATCTCGTGGCCACGGACTTATTATCCTCGTGGCCCCCGAGTTATTATCTTGTTGGGCCTCAAAGATAATT